GAGGTATAGATCTCCGGTTGGATAGTTTGAGCCAGGTGAGGCTAGGCTCTTAGGTACAAACTTGGTCCAGGACGCATTAGATAAGGTGAAATTGATTCAGGAACGGCTTCGCACAGCGCAGTCTAGGCAGAAGAGCTACGCGGATAGGAAGGTCTGTGATGTGTCTTTTATGGTTGGGGAGAAGGTTTTGCTGAAGGTATCACCCATGAAGGGTGTTATGAGGTTTGGGAAGAAGGGCAAGTTGAGCCCCCGGTTCATTGGGCCTTTTGAGGTGCTTCAGAGAATAGGGGAGGTCGCTTATAAGTTTGGCTTGCCACCCAGCTTGTCAGGTGTACAACTAGTGTTTCATGTTTCCATGCTCCGGAAGTATATTGGAGATCCGTCCCATGTTTTGGATTTCAGCACGGTTCAGTTGGAGGGTGATATGACTTATGATGTAGAGCCGGTGGCTATTTTGGATCGGTAGGTTCGAAGGTTAAGGTTAAAGGATATAGCTTCAATGAAGGTGCAGTGGAGAGGTCAGCTTATGGAGGAGGCCGTCTGGGAGACCGAGCGGGAAATGCAGAGCAGATATCCACGCCTATTCGAGACTCCGGTTATGTTTCTAGACCCGTTCGAGGACGAACGGATGTTTAAGAGGGGGAGGATGTAACGACTCGGCCGGTCGTTTCGAGAGTTATAGCCCCGTTTTCCCCATTTCTACTTCTTTTTGTGTTATTCAGCTATAATATGTTATATCAAGTTAGTTGGTTTGGGACCGGAGTGGTTTTAGAGTGAATTGAGACACTTAGTCTCTTAAGTAGAAACTTAAGTTGGAAAAGTCAACCGAATGTTGACCTATGTGTAAACGATCTCGGATTTGAATTCTGATGGTTCTGTTAGCTCCGTTAGGTAATTTTGGACTTACAAGTGCGTCCAGAATGTGATTTGGAGGTCTGTAGTAGAATTAGGACTTAGTTATCAGTTGAGTATTCAGATGGCTCCGTACGAGGCTTTATATGGGAAGAGGTGTAGATCTCCGGTTGGATGGTTTGAGCCGGGTGAGGCTAGGCTCTTAGGTACAGACTTGGTCCAGGACGCATTAAATAAGGTAAAATTAATTCAGGAGCGGTTTCGCACGGCGCAGTCTAGGAAGAAGAGCTACGCAAATAGGAAGGTCTGTGATGTGTCTTTTATGGTTGGGGAGAAGGTTTTGCTGAAGGTATCACCCATGAAGGGTGTTATGAGGTTTGGGAAGAGGGGCAAGTTGAGCCCCCGGTTCATTGGGCCTTTTGAGGTGCTTCAGAGGATAGGGGAGGTGGCTTATAAGCTTGCCTTGCCACCCAGCTTGTCGAGTGTGCATCCAGTGTTTCATGTTTCCATGCTCCGGAAGTATATTGGAGATCCGTCCCATCTTTTGTATTTCAGCACGGTTCAGTTGGAGGGTGATATGACTTATGATGTGGAGCCGGTGGCTATTTTTGATCGGCAGGTTCGAAGGTTGAGGTCAAAGGATATAGCTTCAGTGAAGGTGTAGTGGAGAGGTCAGCCTGTGGAGGAGGCCACCTGGGAGACCGAGTGGGAGATGCGAAGCAGATATCCATGCCTATTCGAGACTCCAGGTATGTTTCTAGACCTGTTCGAGGACGAACGGATGTTTAAGAGGGGGAGGATGTAACGACCCGGCCGGTCGTTTTGAGAGTTATAGCCCTGTTTTCCCCATTTCTACTTCTTTTTGTGTTATTCAGCTATATTATGTTATATCGGGTTAGTTGGTTCGGGACCGGAGTAGTTTCAGAGTGAATTAAGACAGTTAGCCTCCTAAGTAGAAACTTAAGTTGAAAAAGTCAACTGGATATTGACATATATGTAAATGATCTCGGATTTTAATTCTTATGGTTCCGTTATCTCTGTTAGGTGCTTTTGGACTTAGGAGTGCGTCCGGAATGAGATTTGGAGGTCCGTGGTAGAATTAAGCTTGAATTGGCGAAAGTTGGAAATTGGGCGATTTCGGTCGGTAGTGAAAAATTTGATATCGGGGTCGGAATGGAATTCCGATAGTTGGGGTAGGTTCGTAGTGTCATTTGTGACGTGTGTGCAAAATTTGAGGTCATTCGGACGTGGTTTGGTTTGTTTCGGCATCGGTTGCCGAATTTGGAAATTTAGAAGTTCCTAGGCTTGAATCCGAAGGTAATTTGATGATTTGATGTTGTTTTGAGTGATTCGACGTTTCGACTAAGTTGGTATATTGATATATGACTTGTTGATATTTTTGGTTGAGGTCCCGAGAGCCTCAGGATGATTCCGGGTGGTTATCGGATGTGTTGAAGTTGGAATGCAGCTGAAGCTGCTGCTTCTACTATTTCCTCACCTGCGGAAGGGGGAGTCGCATGTGCGACGTCGCAGGTGCAGAGGGAAGGTTCGTAAATGTGAGGAAAAGGGGGTTGGTCAATTTTCGCAGAAACGGAGTATGAGCGCGCAGGTGCGCTTTCACATGTGCGAAAATTTGCTGTGCAGCTGAAGAAAAATGTGAAGCCAAGGCTGGAGCGCAGGCGCGAAGGATTTGGCCGCACCTGCGAGCCCGCATGTGCGAGGCCTGAAGCGCAGGTGCGGAAGGTGGGGAATTAAGTGGAGTTCGCGGATGCGGCGCCTTGACCGCAGGCGCCTAAAAAGAGCACGCAGGTGCAAAAACTTGGGCAGAAACCATAAATAGAACCCTTCGTGAATTTGGTTCATTTCCACCATTTTCAAGTCGGTTTTTGGAGCTTTTGGAGTGATTTTTGAAGGGTGATTCAAGGGCTATCAGTGAGGTAAGTTGCTTGAGCCCTAATACTCGTATTTATGGTGATTCTCCGTTATTTAATCATGTAATTAGTGAAAATGAGGGGTTAAGGCTTGAAATTTTTGTAGAGTAATTTAAGGATTTGAAAGACCAAACGATGTCGGATTTTGATGAATTTTGTATGGTTAGACTCGTGAGTGAATGAGCTTTCTAGTTTTGTGAATTTTGTCAGATTTCGAGACGTGGGCCCGGGGGTCGGGTTTGAGCCAATTTCGGGTTTCGGTCTAATTTTGTAGCTTTTCTTGTGGAATTCATTCAGTTATCGTATATTGATGGTATTGTACTGATTGTGAATAGATTTGGAGTATTTGGAGGCCGAGTACAGAGGCAAGAGCATTGCGGGGTAGAGATTTGACCGGTTTGAGGTAAGTAACGATTGTAAATCTAGTCCTGAGGGTATGAAACCCCGAATATTTGTATCATTCTACTATTTTGAGGTGACGCGCATGATAGGTGACGAGCGTGTGGGCGTGCAATATTGGGTATTGTGACTTGGTCCGTCCCGTAGCAACTGTAAGGTTGCATATTTTGTGGAAATTATATGATACTTATATATTTTAGAAAGAGTTTCTGTAAATTGTGTTGAATGCCAAGTTTGGGCCTTGTGCCAGTACTGTTTGGACCCTTAGGGGCCTTTTCTTACTATCCTCTCACTGTTTTCGATTGAAAATTTATAATCAGTCATGGTTATACTTGTTTACTGCATAACTCAGTTTTATGAATCCATTTTGATGCATATAAATGTTGTTTTGGGCCGAATGCCCTATTTTTACTGAAATGCCCGAGTGGCTTGAGAGGTTTATATCTGAGTGAGGCCGAGGGCCTGATTTGTGAGGATATTTATGGGATCGGACTGCACGCCGTAGCATGTTGCATATTTATGGGATCGGGCTGCACGCCGCAACATGTTTGATATAGGCCCTGTTTGATATATGCCGAGGGCCTGAGTGATTTATGCCATGATTTGGCTTGATATAGCGCTTGGGCTGAAGGAACCCCTCCGGAGTCTGTACACACCCCCAGTGAGCGCAGGTACCTACTGAGTGCGAGTGCCAAGTGCTGAGTGACTGGGAGGCATGAGTAATTGTGAGGTATGCCCGAGTGGCAAGAGTGATTGTGAGGTATGCCCGAGTGGCAAGAGTGATTGTGAAGTTTGCCCGAGGGGCTGTATATGAGTGATGCTTTGCCCGAGGGGCTGTTTATGATTTTATTATTTTTGCTCACCTTTGCATTTTTCCTCTATTTGAAAGCTGTTGAAAAATATCCTTAAATGATTTTTACTGGAAGTGGGTTTAAACGAGATATTTTGATTCAAATCCTGATTTTAAAAGCATGAGGTATTTTACTGAAATTTTATGATATGAACGTTATATGCTTTATTGCTCGTCACTACTGCTCAGTCTTTAGTTATTGTTGTTACTTACTGAGTTGGCGTACTCACGTTACTCCCTGCACCTTGTGTGCATATCCAGGTGTAGCTGGACACGGTAGCGGTTGTTGATTGTTCTGGTTGCAGATTTTCTCGGAGATAGCAAGGTAGCTGTTTGGCGATCGCAGCCCCTGCTCTTCTCCCTCTTATCTTCTTCTAGTTGTATTTAGCTATTTTCCAGGCTGAGTTAGCCTTGACATTGTTCGACAGATTGTAGTAGATGATCATGACTAGTGACACCCCGATGTCGGGCTTTTTCTTCCGCACTTTTATTTTGATTGTATCTCCTTTACGAAGGTTTTTATGTTAAATAACATTGAAATTATCTTTGAAATGAAAATATCGGTTTGTTTTGGAAATGAGTCGGCTTGCCTAGTTCCACGATAGGCGCAATCACGACAGGGGTAGTTTGGGTCGTGACACCTTGATGGTTGAGATTGGGTCTCAGATTCGTAGGACAATAAGCGGAGCTTATGAAATTTATGACTTCTTAAAACTAATAAAAATTGTAACCCTTCTGATATACACACGTAGAGATAAATTAATTAAGAAATGCAGCAGAACTAGTTTCGATTAATATTTACCAAAATAGTATTCATATTGAAGATATGGAGAAATAAAATGGATGAAGTAAAACTTATTATGGGAAGCTTTGCTGTCATTAATCATTAGCGGCAAATGCAAGATATTTAGTCTAGATTTTAAATAATAAGATTGACATCGCTACAAGAGATGCTTGACAACGAAACATAATAAACTCACCGAAATACATTAATATAGACACTTTCTGAAATTACAAGAAAATCTCAGTAATTGATCACATTACAATAAGAACGAGAAAAGCGATGAACTAAAAAGAAATACGTTTTGAAAATCCTGAAGCTCCAGTTATTTAGTTCAAGTTTAGGCATTTACAGCTCTACAATTCTTCCTTATTTCTCCTTCACCATCCGCGAGGACTCTAATATCGCCCATTTTCTTCATCGAACGGCTGAAATATGCTAAGAAAACATGAGGATTTTGCAGTTTTCTTACAATCTGAGCAGAATGGGAGTTGGTCAGTAACGCCGCATCAGATCTGAGTAGGCCTTTGTTTTGATTCAGAGCCTCATAGTAATGGCTATCAAAAGATAATGAACTTTTTGGATCCAGTTCTAGAACAGTTTTTGGATTGATAGGGTTAGGGCACATTGTTCTCAATGTTGTAGCATAATTGGGATTCAATGAAGGATCTGCATCGCCCTTTCCTGTGAAATTATAAAGTCTTTTTGCAACCAATGTGCAATGTGTTATTCCTATGGTATGTGCCCCTGCAAGTACAATTAATCCATCATTTAGTTACAGTTGATATATTTCACATAAAAGGAACCAATAAAAGAAAACATGGTACTAATTTAGAGTTACCTGACAAAGTAACTAAATCGACAATGTCCAAATCGTTGTCTTGAAATTGTCGTAAAAGAGTGGTAAAGTTTGCAAATGGCGACGGCAAGCTGGCTAATGCTTCCGATGCCTTTGATACTCTTCCGTCTTTTCGCCCTGTTGGAATTTTCCACATTGATCGTCCGAACTGTTTCCAATCAAACATTAATGGATTTAAATTGTATACACTAATGACGTAAAATATATTTACATGAATATGTAGCGTTTCAATTAAACACGTGTTATATGCAAATCAAACATGCCAGCAAGAAAAATAAAGTATTCATTCTGCACAGTGTGTACGTTCTTACTTGGTATGAAACTGCATCTCGAGTTACCAAGGCTAGAATATCAGCACAAGAAACTTTATGTGGGCACACTTGTTCTAGTTTCTTCTTTATATCGTCGATAACCTCGTAACCTCCTAGAGATCGATTTGGTAGGGCTGCTTTTTCTGCACTGTTTTTTGGAGTGGAGTCAAGTAAAACTGATGCATCACAGCCCTGCAATATTCGGTATATAAGTATTACATGTGGAAATGTGAAAGCATACGGTGAACTAATTCACGTAAATAATAAGTACACTATCAGCGTATATAACTTAACACATAGTGGCTATGTGCATACCCTAACAAAGCAGTCATGGTAGTGAAGGCGAAGTAGCTTTGCTGGCAAGCTGGGATCAGCAGCAACTCTGCTCCATGTAATTTCCCTCACAATTCTTTCAACTGAAGGACAGCTTTTGTGATAGTAATTCATCTTCAGCTTATCTGCATTGCAAATCCCGAAAGCTACTACTGTAACTAATAGAAGAAAAACAAGATTACTTTGCTTCATTTTTCCCTTTTCTTTCACCACACAAAAAGAGCCAATTAATATACTATATATTAACTCGAAATATGTTCGTTGTTGGTCTTCGAATGCTTCTTTGGACCATATTTATATAGGCACTTTTATACATCATTTGCCTTTGTTATTGAAATTATTGCTCTCTGCTGGCTTCTTCTTTGCACGATTTATCTAGATAGCCAACCAAAAGTTGATACGTGTAGATGAACTGATCAATAATGGATTGTGCTTCTCAATCATATATAATTCATTGAATCATGCATGACTTTTCTTGTATTAACTAGTCATTGACCAAAGAAAAGCATTTTTTATTCGGGATGGAATATTATAGCAAAAATAAAACACTTCTGCCGTGGTGTTATGGCTCGGTTGGACTTTGATTGACATCGTTGCATGAAAATGTATTGTACAAAAAAAGAACAATTTTCAGCTTTAGGAGGGGAAGTAGAAGCTGCACTACACGTACGTTCCGAGAAACAAGGTGGCTGGCTGTCTGACATTGCATCCTTTTGCGATTTATTGAACTAGCTAGGAGGCATAAGTAATTATCATAAAGAACAACAACAAAAAAAGCATTAGAAATGATAATGGAACAGGAATTTTCCGAACTTCAGAAGAAACTTTTGTTTTCTTCTCTTTTTTGTTTAAGATAGCTGATCGAGGTAACTGCATATTTATTTTCTTAAAACAGTTGTAAGTTCTCTAAGGATGTAACAGTTTGTAATTATTTTTTTCTTTTGCGCTAATTTGTATATGGTGTCCAACTACGTGGTTTGATTAGTGTTTTCTGTAACCCAAATCGAAGATCCTCTAACTCTTCTTTATCCTTGTTAAATTCGCTTACTTGCAATGCCCTGTATTTCCAGGTTAATAAGTCCTATACAGTGTTTTAAACATGCCCAACGCTTGAAATAATGATTTAGAAATTGATTGGTGAAAAACAGGCTTTGATAGAAGGAGAAAACAAACAAAATAATTCAGGTGCATTTTTGAAGAATCCATCACGGTAAGTAAACCCATATCGGGATAAGAGAAAGGTCAACTAAAACGAACGCCTAAAAGATAATGACCCTGTAAAGATATTATATGTTTTTTTTTGGCGATCTCTTATGAAAAGAATTGTTGGCCCAAGAAAGAGAATAGTTTTGAAGATTGGCAAAGGAACTCAGATATGAACCAGGTCCATCACTGGCAGACATAGACACCGGCAGAGTCAATGCACGTGAGGTGCACGTGCAGGAGATAAGCGTATTCTGGTAGAATGAGATATCTCCTGATCGAAAAGATTGCAAAAACGATAAGGAAAAGGACTCCTTATTCAGTAAGAACAATATCTAAGATAAGGAAGGATTTAAGAGTTGAGTTTAACTAGAACTCTTCCACCAAGGAAGAGTAACATTAGGATTCTAATTAATTCTTTATCTACTAACTCCTATATATTGCAAAATATTCTTATTGTACAGTGACGCACAAAAGCAGAAGTTAAGCAAGAATTGAGAGCAAAATAGCGAAGCAATTTTGCAAGCAGTTCGAGTGATATTTGAGTGTGCGAATCTGATGCTACTTGAACAAGCTAGAAGAACCAGCTCTAACTGTTGTCTTTTAGTCTAGTTATTTGTAGTAGGTGGTTTTAACTTGTACCTTTTTAGCTTTATCTAGAAGCGTCTGTAATAGGTACTTTGTGTTTTCAAGTTAGAGTTAACTTAAAATTTGTCGCAAATAGCTAGAGGCTAGTTTGCTACAAAGGGTTAGAGGTAATACTAGGTTTACAAAAGAGTTTTTGTAAATACTGTTTTGGCTCACTGATTTAGTAAATACTTTTGGAAAAATCCTACTGGGAAGTAGGTCGTGGTTTTTTCACCTTTTGAGCTAGGTGTTTTCCACATAAAATCTCTATGTTCTTTATTTTCTGTACTTATTATTCCGCAACAGTAGTAGTTGGAACACATAGAAGAACCAGGTCCTTCTATAATCTGTGCACGCGAAAAAATTAGACACCACATAAATCACTCCCTCCTGTGTGGTATTGACGTATAAAATATCAATTGGTATCAGAGCCAGGTTATCCTTGAAGAGGCTAAGAGGTTAACACCTTAGGAGAAGATCAAGATGAGTGCACCACCTGAAAACTGGGAAGGGCAATCTACTGCTAGGCCACCACTCTTCAATGGCCAGTACTACTCCTGGTGGAAAAACAGAATGAGAGACCACATCATAGGAGAAGACTATGAACTATGGGACATTGTCACAGATGGTCCATTGGCTACCATGAAGATAAATGACGAAGGAGAAGAGGTGCCAAAAACAAGAGCTGACTGCACTGCTGACGACTTAAGGAAATGGGAGAAGAATGCTAAGGAAAGCAAAATCACTGCAATTCAGGAATCTAAGAACATTGCAACTCTTAGGTTGGATGAGCAAATTGGAAATCTCACTGGTTATGAACTTAGAAGGCAGACCATGAGGATGGATGTGCCTAAGAAAGAAAGGAGTCTGGCACTCAGAATCACTGAAGATGCTGATCTGGAGGAAGATGAAATGGCTATGATCACAAAGGACTTTAGGAAATACCTTATGAGAGGAAAAGGTTCTTCAAGAAATGGAAATTACAACAAAGCAAGGGTTCCAAAAAAAATGACCAATGAGGGCTGCTACAAGTGTGGGAAGACTGATCATCACATAAAGAACTGCCCTCAATAGGAAATTGAATGGAAGAAGAAAAAAATCTGAACGAAGGAACAGGAAGAAGGAACAGGTTCATCCCAAGAAGAACAAAGGATCAACAAAGGCTATGGTTGCTGCTTGGGGAGAAAGTTCAAATGAGGAATCAGATGATGAAGATGGAGATTAACAAGCACTTATGGCAATTGAAGAATCAAATGAGGAATCTGAAGTAAGTATAATTCATCTCAAAGACAAGATTAAGTTTTTGTCTAAAGAAAAACTCTCTGAATTATTGCTAGATTTCATTGATGAATCTGAGGTAATAAATAAAGAAAAAGAACAGTTGTCTAAGAATTATGTGATTTTAAAAGCAAAGTGTAAGAACCTGGAGCTCAGAGTTAGTGAGACTATGAGTGAAAATACTACTCTGAAGAACCAGGTTCATACATTTGAAGCAAATGTTCTTGAGTTAAAATCTGAAAATCTAAAACTGAAACTAGGAACCAGTAAGAAGACAGCTGATTGCACACAACTCACTTTAGAAGAAAATGTAGGCAAACTAAAAGATGAGTTGTATAGGAAGGATGAGCAGGTAAGAGTGCTAAAGGAGGATCTAGGCAAGGTCAAGCATGAACTAGACAGAACTAGTAAATGGAACAGGTCCTCCGATGCTTTGTCATGGCTACAGGAACATCACAGTAGCAATAGAAGAGGACTTGGCTTTGAGAATCAGCTACCTAAGTGGGATCCTAAAAGCAAGTACCTCATTCTTCCTGAGAACAAGATTTGTACTCACTGTGGTAAGACTGGTCACTATAAAAGTGAATGTAACGCAAAAGAAAGGGCCAGTCAAAAGAACAAAAATTTTGTTCAAGGGAAGAATTGGTTACCAAGTTGGGCTAAAAAGAATTTAATGCATCCTTTTGCTTATAGAAAGGGACCCAAACTAGCTTAGGTTCCTAAGACTAACCCTGATTTCCTTTTGTAGGTTCAAGTGATGGGGAGCAGCCAAATATGGTACATGGATAGTGGCTGCTCAAAGCATATGACAGGAAGCAAGGACTAGTTCCTTTCACTAGAGGACCTCAAAGGAGGAAATGTCTCATTTAGAAATGGAAAGAAAGGTGAAATTATTGGGGTTGGTAAGGTAGGTAAGGATGAGTCTCATTCCATTGAGAATGTCTACTTGATAGACGACTTGAAGTATAGCCTAATCAGTGTGTCATAATTGTGTGATAGAGGTAACTTGGTAGCATTCACCTCTACTAAATGTTTTGTGATAAATCTTATCACTGACAAGATTGTTTTGCAGGGTAAAAGAGTGAATAATATATATATTATAGATCTGCCCACACTCTCAGAGAATGAACTAACTTGCTTAAGTGTGCTGGATAGTGATCCCCTCTTTTGCCATAAGAGGCTTGGACATGCAAGTCTAAGTCAACTCAATAAATTAGTATCCAAGGACTTGGTGATAGGACTTCCTAAGATTAAGTTCAAGGAAGACAAAGTTTGTGAGGCTTGTGCAAGGGAGAAGCAGGTAAGATCCTCTTTTAAATGCAAGAAAGTGGTAAGTACCACCAGAACGATGGAACTGGTTCATAGGGATCTCTGTGGTCCAATGAGAACATTAAGTAGAGGTGGTAATAGATATATGATGGTGCTTGTTGATGATTATTCTAGGTTTACCTGGACACTGTTTTTAACATCTAAAGATGAAGTCCATGTCACTTACTTTGTTAGAAAAACTCAGAAACAATTAGGAAATCAACTTGCATCAATTAGGTCTGATCATGGTACTGAATTTGAAAATGCTAAATTTGCTGAATTTTGTGATGTGAATGGCATAGATCATAACTTTTTTGCCCCTAGAACTCCACAACAATATGGGGTAGTTGAAAAAATGAATAGGACTCTTGAAGATATGGCTAGGACTATGCTTCTTTCTAGTAAGTTGCCCCATAGCTTCTGGGCAGAAGCTGTAAATACTGCATGCTATATCATAAATAGGTGCATGACAAGACCTCTAATAGAGAAGACTCCATATGAGTTACTTAAAGGGAGAAAACCAAATATATACCATCTTAGGGCATTTGGATGCAAGTGCTTTGTGCACAACAATGGTAAAGACTCCCTAGGCAAGTTTGATCCCAGAAGTAATGAGGGAGTATTCTTGGGATATTCTTCACATAGTAAAGCATATAAGGTATATAACAAAAGAACTATGTGTGTTGAAGAAAGTGTTCATGTGGGTTTTGATGAAACTAACATTCTTCTGAGAGACGGGAACATGATGATGAAGCAATTGGGATGGTAAGAAACTTAAATGAAACCATAACCCAGACTGAAGCTGCACTGGAAGAAGGAACAGGTGATGGAA